TGTGAACTATAAAGGGACAGAGTGTAAATTGCCCTCAACACTTTTTAATGTCCTATATAAAATCAAAAGCCTGAAAGGCTTCAATGACGTCGAAGAAGAAAAACAATTTCAAAAGATCATTTTGAATTTTAAGGAATGAAATAAGTCAAGTGAGTGACTCAGGAGACATAATAAAAAAAATAGTTTAAACAAAATATCACAATTACAGTCTGGGGCCTTATGTCATGGTCCGAATGGAGCAGGGTTCGAATTGACCAGACACCGTCGAACATGTTCATGCTAAATATAATATTTTTTTCTAATTGCCAATGTCAAAGCATTGTATTAGTGATTGCATCTAAACTACAACCAAGCCTCTAGTCTGTTAAAATTACGATCGAGTTACGATCGGGCGTGGTATACGGTATACTGGGAAATGGAGGAAATGGAGAAAAACAGCAATACTGGTCAATATCATCGGTTTTTAGGATAGAGTTGGTTAGAAGATTGTATAAGTAAAGCTAAGATTTAGAAATTCAATCTTTTTAGTCTTGAAATATTCGTGTTTATGTAATTTTGTGATTATTTTACCTCCTGTTGTGTTGTTTTACGGTTATCGTTCCGAAATGTTATTCATGTCATTCAACGCACTCTTTCTATAGAAATTCATCCGCAACAACCATCACGTTTTTCTTGTGTGAGAATAAAATATAATATTGTTGTTTTGCAATAGAATTAATTGCGGATATAATTGATGCAATTTTATTTTCAAGCTATTATTCATTTTGAGCGTTTTCAAAGAAATTAGTTTATACCTATTGCTATTTTCTATTGCGGATGCATCGACTGACACATTCGGTCGCGTACATATCCGGTCGCGATTTCAACTGGGCGCTTGCTAGATGACGTTCGAGCTCCAAGAGCTCGACGTCATAAAAAATTAAGTAATTATTAAATTTAAACTTCTTTCATGTCCATGCATCTTATCTAAGCTTTTCACAGACTATGTAATTTACTCAACACATGTCGTTTTATTACTCAGTTCGCTAATTGTTGTCAAAGAATTCTGTTATATACCAGTATCTGAATTGTAAGTGTCAGTTCAGAGGCCTGACGCATTACTGGCCACTTCCGTCTGTGTCCCCGCATATGTTTTTTAAATGTTAAAATTGTTGTCCATTGATAAAATCTTTAATAAACTTGGAAACTGATTTACTCATTACTTTAGATTTATAATACATGTATGTGATTTCGGGAAGAGTCCTGGGAATACGGCACTACTACTTCCGGCCCACAGCGCCACTCATTTCACTGCCAACATTCCCTCTCTCTCGATCAACGACATATCTTATTAGATCCAAACTAAGTGATTATACTTCCACAAAATTTGAGAACCACAAAATGAATGGAAGAATATGTAGGCCTAAGCTTTTGATTTTTTTCTTCAAACGAAATTTAGCGGAAATCAAAAGCCTGAAAGGCTTCAATGACGTCGAAGAAGAAAAACAATTTCAAAAGATCATTTTGAATTTGAAGATAGCAATAAGTCAAGTGAGTGACTCAGGAGACATAATAAAAAAATAGTTTTAAACAAAATATCACAATTACAGTCTGGGGCCTTATGTCATGATCCGAATGGAGCAGGATTCGAATTGACCAGACACCGTCGAACATGTTCATGCTAAATTCTTATCAGTCAGTTGAAGAACTATGAAGGATTTCATGAATTTATATAATATTTTTTCTAATTGCCAATGTCAAAGCGTTGTATTAGAGATTGCATCTAAACTACAACCAAGACTCTGTTCTGTTACAATTACGATTGAGTTACGATCGGGCGTGGTATACGGTATACTGGGAAATGGAGGAAATGGAGAAATACAGTAATACTGGTCAATATCATCAGTTTTTAGGATAGAGTTGGTTAGAAGATTTTATAAGTAAAGCTAAGATTTAGAAATTCAATCTTTTTAGTCTTGTAGTATTCGTGTTTATGTAATTTTGTAATTATTTTACCTCCTGTTGTGTTGTTTATGTTACACGGTTATCGTTCCGATATGTTATTCATGTCATTCCACGCACCCTTTCTGTAGAAATTCATCCGCAACAACCATCACATTTTTCTTGTGTGAGAATAAAACATAATATTGTTGTTTTGCAATAGAATTAATTGCAGATATAGTTGATGCAATTTTATTTTCAAGCTATTATTCATTTTGAGCGTTTTCAAAGAAATGGTTTATAGCTATTGCTATTTTCTATTGCGGATGCATCGACTGACACATTCGGTCGCGTACATATCCGGTCGCGATTTCAACTGGGCGCTTGCTATATGACGTTCGAGCTCCAAGAGCTCGACGTCATAAAAAGGGGGGTACATGATGAATCAGTGTGACATTAAAAAAAACTTCAAAATATATTCTGAACTTATAATGACCGTATAAAGATATGATGATAATATGAAAATTATATCCTCATCCTCAGTTTTTGTTTACAAAGATTACATGTTCACTGCAAGACATACGAATATTGATCTGCTTATAAGTCGGTACAGAGCAAATAGGTGGTGCAAATACTGTGAAGCCAATATTGCAGGGAATATGGCCAACTTTAAAATAGTGTTTGTATGCCCTCTCGAGCTCCCGACTCAGGACGAAAAAATTGGGTCGGTAAGTAGATGAGAATTTTTTCCCCGAAAAATTTTAATATCAATATCGTAAGAAACATATATTACCCAGGTAAAAGGGTAAGGGATTCTCTAGGCCCGTATTATTGCCTGTGTCAATATTTACGAATGTACGACAATTCATACTGTATGTTCAGAGCATTATTCACGTCTAACATGACGTGGTGAGTGTATAACGTTATTATTAAAAAGAAAAAAAAACACCGGGTATTTACCGACATAAAACCATTATCTGTGTTTAATTTGAGAAAACTTACATAAATAATATTTTATCGGATTTTTTAAATCATGTGCTACAAATGACCAAAATAGACATTTATGTGACATGCAAAAATGTCGACACTCTTAAAATGTACATGTAACTTCTGTCTTATCAGAGTCCAAAACACCTAGAGCTTAATTCTTCATAAAATTTAACTTATAACAATGAAACCGTTTCGACAACAAGTGTAAAATTTAGATATACTTTAAATTAACGAAAACAATCATATCAAATATTGCATGTAGAATAAAAGGAGGGGATTTATGCATAAATTTTTCATGTATGTTTTCATGTGATAAAGTAAGTAGCATGGGCGGATACAGGATTTGTGATTAGGGGGGGCGTGGATAACTTCGTTCAGGCAGGGGGTCTGGGGGCCGCCTTAAGGCCCCCAGTGGGTCCATTTTTCCAATCAGACAGGTATTTCAAATATTTCTGAGAGGGATATAAAAGCGTCAGTTTGAACGTCTTTTTATCAACGTCATTTTACAAGGTAATTTTAACATTTTCTTAACTTTTGATTCCCTATATCTCAGAAATTATTCTGAATATTTGAATCAAACTTTATATTTGGTTATTTTACACTATAATCTATCATAATCCATTGAAAAGTCAATTTTGAAATTTTTTACCTTAAGGGCCCTTTTCGCATGGGACGGCTCATTTCATTTTCTTTTATATTTCAGTTAACAAGAAATTGATAATGTATTCCTCTAAAATCTCTTTACTATGCTACAATTTCATTAGTACTAAAGCATTTATCTATACAACATATAGCATTCGCATACCAAAGTTTTCAAAATTGACCATTTCAATGTAATGTAACATTTAATATTTTTTCCATAGGAGTGGGTCTTTGCTCTATTTAAACATATATTTTTTTTTTTTTGGTTAACAAGAAATGGAGTGAGAATCCACTACACATTAAAAGTCACTTTTAGACAAATCATTGGTATCTCTCATGAAAATACTGGATGGCCAGTTATAAAGGTTGTGTCACAAACAAAAAATTAAATGCTACTGTAACAAAATGGTGGTGAGAAACACTGTGTTTTTCTCTGAAAACAAAACTGTCATTAAATTTGATTCTTTTTATTTACTTTTTAACTTAAAAACAAATCATTTGTATATATTCTTAAATTTCAGGGTTCATTTTCAAATATCAGAATTAAGTGGTGTCTTTTTCATTTTCAAGGATTAGATTGCTTTTATTAAAAAACTTGGTGTGTTGTAACCCCCATGTATGCCCTCACAGGCAGCCATCAAAATTTCAAATGCCATATTGAGTTTTAAATTTATTTGTTGAACTTGACCTGTATTTTCTGGTAAAATACATACACATGAAATTTCAATCTTATACATACATCCCTACAAAAGTTACAGAGTGGAAACTGAAAATTTCTTATTTTTTATAAGTTCAAGAGGGATACATGTAACTCTGTCAAAAATCAACGGACCACGACCAAATTCGAACTTGGCCTGTATTTTCTGGTAAAATACCTGTATATGCAATTTCAACCTTATACATACATCCCTACAAAAGTAAGAGAGCGGAAACTGAAAATTTCTTATTTTTTTCTAACTTCAAGAGGGATAACTCTGTCAAAAATCAATGGACCACTACCAAATTCGAACTTGGCATGTATTTTCTGGTAAAATACCTGCATATGCAATTTCAACCTTATACATACATCCCTACAAAAGTAAGAGAGCGGAAACTAAAAATTTCTTATTTTTTTTCTAACTTCAAGAGGGATAACTCTGTCAAAAAACATCGAACCATGACTAAATTCAAATTTGACCTGCGTATTCTTATGACGTATCCATGTGTCAAATTTGAGTTGAATGTGTGCAACTGTTGACGAGATAATGAACAGAAAGTCAGTGATGATGGAATGATGGAACAGGGTAACACTATATGCCTCCGGCCATTTAATGGCGGGGGCATAAAAATAATAATTATCAAGGTTTGCTTATTTCTAATTCTCTATAAAACTGTTAATGAACAAGCAAAATCTAAAAATGACATCACTATGAACTTTTACATTTATACTGTGTAAAATTAGTACAGACCAATCTCAACTGTATCCACTGTTCATGATTATACTCTAGACTGCCCTCAAATTCTCGGGTCAGTTGTGAACAATCAATGAACTTTGATAAGCCATCCACTGAGATCATACATGTCTGGGGAAAAAAAATCAACATTTCAGTCATTGTCAAAAACAGGCAAATAACACTGTAAAAAGCTTGTAAATTAAACTTGAAAATTCTTATTCAAAGTACATGTATATCCTATACTTGATATTGCTATTACTTAATGGAACTCTTTTGCAGTGGATCGAGGTAGGGAACGTCACTGCAGATTTTATTTTTTGTAGATATTTTGAGCTACGCTGACTCTTCTAATAATAAATTCAACCTTTTCTTTCTGATATATGCTACTTTTGGAAGTCTAAACATTCAGAATAAGACGAATTACTTTCTGAATTAAGAAGATTGTCAATACATTGTAATTTTGGCATACTTATTGATCGAATCATTCATTTGTCAATAGCATAAACAATATGTTTTGCCCCAAGCTTTCTTGATTTTATCACAAAATAGTGGAAGGAAGTTAGATACATGTAACTGCAAGGTAATATATAGGGTACTAAATATTACATTTCATACAAGAAACCTTACTTCAAAGTTATATTTGGCACTTCCCAGACTAGTTCTCTTCTTCTCCCAAAACTTCTCTGGTTTGATTATATAAGCAATATTTATACTGTCAGGGAAACAGTCCTAGGAAAAAAAAGCACAATAACAAAACTTACAAAAGGTATTTCTCTCAGCCTGCATGATTAAGATTGTCATAACACTGCAAAAGGTGCCAATGTGCAAATTTTAGGTAACACATTTTACAAAACCTTATATATTCATACTCTAGTCTTTCTGCAAATCACCAAACCTTTTAAAATTTCTTGCTTTATCCTTCTTCATTCTTTTGCATATTTTTATTAACACTTACATATGCACACCAGAAAACCTGCTGAAATTCATCTAATATGGGCACCTACCTGCAGTACTTTTAATATGGGTTTGACTATTTGCCATGTTGATCCTCTCATGTCAAGGATCATGGTAAAGCCTCTCTCTCGTACTTCATTGCTACAATATCAAATTAAAACCATACTTATTTTATACTAAACAAAAGAAATAGTGTTCAATTATATACTGAAAACATTGAGATTTATACTAAAGGTAATTTATTTCATACAGCAGGAACTTAGAAATCAAAGAAATTAAAAACTTTTGTACAGAAAGTTCTAACCTTCAGAAGTTTCATACTAAACAGTTTGTAGAGGTAAATTTTCTTTGAAATATGTTATATATCTTCACACTACTCTTAACCAAAACTTTTCAAATCTTATAATTGCCAACAGACCACTGAACTGGCTAGCTATACAGGGCTTCAGTAATTAAATCACCACTACCCCATTTTTAGGAGAACCTAGTTTACTTTTATTGCATCTTCTTCCATTGAATTTAAGTTTGATGGACATGCATGTCCATGTCTAATACAGTCACATAAATTTCTCTCTATAAACTCTATAAAAATGCTCATTTGTATTTTTCAATTCATTTATTTCTTAAGATGATTTAGTTGACCTTTTGGCTTTGCACAGGATTACACTACCTATCAGCCAATGCATGTTTCTCCCATTCACAGGAGGAAGTATATTGTGTAAAGACAAGTTGCTCTTCAATTTGCTTGCTTGAAATTCTCATAGTTTTCAATGCAAAGATATGATGTAATTACAAGCATTTAAACAGTACTTAAAATTACATACATGTATGTGAGCATTAATTCATTTCAATTTTACAAAAACATGGAAATCAATTTATAGTCTTATATACTGCTTATATGAAATTAAAACAAGTGTATGAATTAACATGTTTAGTTGGGATTATCAACCTATCCCTATGTACTAGAGACTTACTAATTACAGTATTAGCGGTTTCAGAAAATTCTTTATAATATTAATTATACATGTACTAATTGTGTTATTCATTTTTTTTCACATCATAATTTGACATTTTTACAGGCTCATTAGATATTTCTTTCATGTATATTTTTATTTGCCAACATTAATTCTAACTGCCTTGGCTTTCAGACCATTGAGTTTTGGTGAGGACTGCTAATGTTAGTTTATAGCAGTATAGCAATAAAGTAATAAACATATGTACAGCTTTCTCTATACAATTACCTAGGAACACTAGCCAAATAGGTCATGAGGCGTCTCAAGTCATCTGTATCAAGTCTTTCTGGGTGGGTGAGGGAAGGAAATGTCAGGATAGCACCTCCCCGTCTGTCCCTTCCACCTGAAATAGATTTGGTTAAGGGTCAAAATTTTAATACATAATTTCAACATATCTACTAAACTATTGTATAAATTCTGGATTTAAAAAAAAAAATGCTTATTTTTTATACTATGTAACAGCAACATTCATTTAGTATTTTAAGAAAAGCACACTACATGTTCATTCAACCAGTTTTGTTATACAGTAGTTTTTAATTAGCACTAGCTAATCATTGTGGAACAATTATATCTTTTGAATTAAACAAACATGCAATGTCTAATTATCGTCCATGTTAATTTAGATCAATCCAACAAACCATTGAAGTTACATCTACACCTAAAATGAACTTCATGATGAAACATACATATTATCTGATTAATATTACAGTAACAGATATGTTTACCTGAGAGATACGCCACCCGCTCTCGCAGGATGGGCACAATATCTGCTGCCTTTAACCCATCTGTTCTTTTTCCTCCTACGAAAAAAAATATTGCGTAACATTATTTGTCACTTTATTAATACAAGAATTCAGAAACATATGATGCTCTTTTTTATGCATCAAATGCAGAAACATCTGCAAACAATCCTCATTTGCATAAAGAAAAGTTTTCAAGACAAAGCTATGCTGATTAGAGGATGTGCAAGAGTGAGTTATGCTACAGGCACACATGGTCTACTGACTATACAGATATTATTTACAGAATTTTAAATAACAAATTTTCCATTTCTATAGTCTTTTTTTTTTAATTCTACTGAATGACTTTCTGATTTTAAAACAATATAAGCTCCTTTTAGTCCTTTATCTTTATCTCTTGGTTATGAACTTATATAACTGCATAAGTTAATTCATATTTCACAAACATGACTCATGAGATGGTGATTAAAACATGCTTTTAAGATAAGTAGATCTATATAGACATTATTAAATAAAAACACATATAGCTGCTATATTACTATGCTAATTAATAAGTTATGCCAATATGTTTTTCAAAAATTGATGAAATGCTAGCTTAAAGTATCAGATTTGACAATTTACTTTTTCTGTGATGACCACTTATTAGCCTCATATCATATTATCTCAATTTGTCTCACAAATCCTGTATATGTTTACAAAACACTCCAATATATGTCAGAAACACGGTTTTAAATATGCTCCGTTACTGGGACAACCGTTGTATACAGTACCGGTTAGTAGGTTTCTTTAACAGGTGTTAAATTTGGCATTGTTGGCTTGTTAGAAGTATGACAATAATAATGGCAGAACTTATTTTGATCGATGGACACAGTGTTCCATGACGTTGCAAACCAGTAACATAATCTTTTGCCCATTAACAGAAGAGTACTGCCTCAAGAACCTTTTATTAGATATGTAGATGGGCCTTCCATATGTTCGGATACAGATTTCAAAAAAGGTATAATGTTTAATAACATACTGGTCAAAAGGGTTTTTTTTTCTTGTGTCCAGTACTTGTACGCAAAACGCAAATTTAGCAATCAAAATTTTTGCCCAGTACTATAGCTACCAACTTGCTGAAATAAGCTTAAATTAGCACCCCACGAAAAGTTCCCACTAAATGGTATATCTAAGTGATCAATCTATTGCAGTTAAACATGGTTTCAACATGGAAAAAAGAACATTTTGCTGCAGAAGAGTTCTTGATTCAAAATAAAATATTGAATAAAAACACTGATATTTAAGTTACTCTTAACAACAACATACAGAAAATTTGGCAAATCCTACTAGATAAGAAATTAGGAGGAAGTGGAGATGAATCATAGAAGATAAGCTGCAAGACCTAGATTATACCTGACCCATTTGTTAGATTTTTGCTTCCACACACATATATAGAGGGGTAAAACTGACTATTTTTCAATGAATGTTATCCAAAATATATCATTTATCAATTAAATACATTACAATGGCTTCAGTAAAAGTCGTAAGTCGATATCCGCTAATGATGCTGAAGCTGAGCTTCCAAAATACAAAATCCAGCATCACAGCGCTACAAAAGGGCCTCAAAGACCAACAAAGAAGTACCTGGTCGATAGTAAAATTCAACATCTCGATCATTTAAACCCTCATTTGGCTGCTCCTTTGAACTCATCTCCTAACTTCAACAGAAGTTCGAGAAATCATGATGTAGATCTTCGCATCATTGTTTATTCCTGACATCTTTTGTCGGCCATGAATTCGTAATCATCGTACACCTTCGTTTAATATCGGATATGTTCGCGAAATGTCGTCACCGGAAGTGATTACTTTCGGAACATACCCATTCGGATTATCTTTGCATTTTTCCTGGAATCTCACATGTGTGAACAAAAAAGATGACAACAACTTTCTCAAATCCCTCTCAATTGTTGCCTCTAGGTTTGTTTCGACAATTTCAATGTATTTATGTATTCTGAATAACAATGTCTTTAAAAGTTTACAACAAGTACATTTCCAAAATGCTCCTGATGCATCTTTATCTCCATTCCTACCTTCATCTCCAATATACATGTACAGTGATGTAAGCTATAATAATTCATATCTTTTTCAGAGTTGGTGGATAAATGTATTGGATCTCGAATTCACATTATCATGAAGAATGACAAAGAAATCGTGGGAGTGTTACTTGGTTTTGATGACTACGTCAGTATCCTTCTGGGTTTTTTTCCCCCAAAATGGTGCCATTTCTACATTTTTTGTCTGATTTTGAATTGACTGAAACATGTGTAACAGGGAAGGAGAAATACCAGGATGCGAACCTGGGTCTCCTGAATCAGGGTAGACTTTACTTTACTGGTCTCCAGTTCCGTAAGATCCACGAGCTCATTGCACTATGATGTAAGATATATGTCAACTGATAAGGATTAGTCTACTGCACACTACTCAACTGATTAGGGTTTGTCTTGCATCCTTACCTTAACCTTAACCTTAATTCTCTCCGTGCCAGGAGGCACATAAGGCCTGAACATCTCTTTTCCACTGGGGCCGGTCTAAGGCTGCACGGCGTGCCGTGTTCCAAGAGTTCCAGCCTGCATTATTTCACTCCACTTCCACCATCCGCCACCATGTTGTCTTGGGGTGGCCTCGTTTCCTTCTCCCCTCAGGCTTCCACCCGAGGGCCACAACACAATCATCTGTTGGGTCCCTCCTCAGCACATGGCCGATCCAATTCCATCTCCTCCTCCTCACCTCGCCACTGGGTCTCCTGAATCAGGGTAGACTTTACTGGTCCCCAGTTCCGTAAGATCCACGAGCTCATTGCACTATGATGTAAGATATATGTCAACTGATAAGGATTAGTCTACTGCACACTACTCTGCACACTACTCAACTGAATAGGGTTTGTCTTGCATCCATCTGAGAGATTTGGGTTAGTTCTTGAACAAGTATTCGACTGATCAGGGCTAGTCTAGCATCCATCTGAGAGATTAGGGTTAGTCCTCACACACTATTTGACTGATTAGGGTTAGTCTAGCTAGCATATGCCCGGAGATTTGGGTTCGTCCTCTCATACCACTCAAGTGATTAGGGTAAGCCTCTTGTTCTTTTAGATTAATTAAAAAAGTCGGTTGCATCTGTATTTTTTGCAAGATCTTTCAGCTTCCACAACATCTCGTTGGTTTGTTTTACATGAAAAAAAAATGGTTAAGTACAAAGAAACAGCACTTATAAGCATGCACTGCTTCATTACAATTATTTTTGTCAATTTTGTTTTTCACTGGATAAACAACAATATTTATTGAATGTTTTTAGAGAATGAGGTTTAAAACTTTGTTTAAAAAGAAGTTTTAAACTAAACTTTTATCTGTAGAATTCAATTTTGGCCCAAAATCTCATACTTTTTATTTTTTTCTATAATTGCTCATGCAACTTCATATTTATTGAAGTTGCATACATGACAATATATTTTAGCATGTTTTTCTTGGGACCGGTAAAGGAAAGTTATTCCCTGAAGCATGCTCTACCAACAGCTATCTGACCATCTGGCAATCAAACCTGCCTGACTGCTACATTCCTCCCTCCTTGAAAGTCTTTGCCCTCAAAGACACAAACCCAGGCTTTTCCCTACCAGGTTTTTCACCTGTTCCCTTCAAGAAATTTTCATGAGTAGATCATCTCACGTAATTACACAAAAATTAAGTTCTTGCATATGAAAAGTGATTTACATTATGCTTTGATTTTCAATTTCAATAAACTTATAACCAACTAATAAATTTTTTCAAAACATTACTACTGAGTCCTGAAAATTTTGTCTGATGTGTCATATCAGCCCTCAGGCCCCATATCAGCCATCGGACCTTCGGCCCTCGGGCTGATATGGGGCCACTCGGGCTGATATGACAAAACAAGGAAACATATTTCTGTGCATTGAGTTTTCAATTTTGATGACAAAGGGCTACTCTATTTACAGTTTTAGATAAAATTAGATAAAATTGAAGACAATAGTTCACTAATAAAACATAAATAATTTTTTACTTCATTTTTATATCTACACAATGTTGCTGCTTTACTGACATTAAAAATCCACCAAGGTAATTATTAAATAATAATCTACCTAGAGGTTTTTTATCCTTAACTTTCTTCAGACATGGTGCTGGAAGATGTTACAGAATTGTAAGTATTCAACTGGCACATGATTTAAAATGTGAAAGTTTGAAAATTTATACTTTATTCAAAACAGCCACAGACACACATTGCAAATAAATACTAGATACAGTGTTAATTAAGGCATTTAAGTTTTAACATCCACACAAAATATTTTCTGATTCTGTTCTTTAGAGACGTGCAATGATTTTAATGGATTACAATTAACGTCATAAAAATTTACCTCCCTTTGAATACGGTTTGAAATGCATTCTGATCATGATGGAATTTTTTTTGCACAGTTTATGATTTTGATCTACATTATTTATTCTATCGGTGTCCTGTTTTTTTTGTTGATCAGTGAGAGCACTCCAGAAGGAAGGAGGGTGACCAAACTTGATCAGATTTTATTGAATGGGAACAACATCACAATGGTAAGCTACAAATACAAGAGGTCAATACAAATGTAGAGTGTATGTGACACAGACACTGCATACTGTAAAAGCAGAAATATTCGTTGGGGAGTTAATTTCGTTTATTTTGTTATAAATGATGAGCAACAAAATTAAATCCCACATGAAATTTTTTTATCATTATATCACTGTTACTTTCGAAACAACCAAATTTAATGCCCATGAAACCTTTTTTGATGACAAATCAATGAAATTTTATCCCCATGAGAAGTCTTTTAGCTTTTGCAATGAAATTTTATATCATTACTCCCTATGGCATAAAGAAGTAGGGATGGGTATCGCCACAATTTCATATGGGGTATACATGTATCAGGATTTCCCCCAAAATATGATAATATAAATTTTTACTCTGATTTTAAATGAATATCCATAATTTTGTTGGAAAAACATAACTCCACTCTTTTCATTTTTATTTGCATAATATAAAGCAAGTTTGGATACTAGGATGGCATTGTTTTACTGTTTTCAACATTGTGTGATTGTAATTTAAAAGTTTGAACAAATAAATGAATAATTTCTGGAATTTATAATAATGTACCTAAATATTAGTATTTTAGTCTCTGTATCACGATATGTATCACACAATTAAAAATCATGATATACAGGTATTCCAATAAAATTGTGCATCTCTATAAAGAAGACCCCTATTGATGTTGAGGTGGAAAGGTCAAGGTCAAATTCATATACATGCATTTTGTCTGTAACACTTTTTTTTTACCCAGGTGATATCTTAAGAAGCCTTTGAGGTTTTGCAATGAAATTTTATATCACAGCTCATTATGGCGTGATTTTAAGGTCAGTGGTCAAGGTCAGAAATCCATATGTTGCAAATATTATTTTCCGAATGATAACTATACTTTTAATTTGAGTTGTTTTTTTTTTCAATAAAATTGTATATCACAATTCCCCTGGCCTAAAGAAGACCCCTATTGATTTTGAAGTCAAAGGTCAAATGTTAAGGTCATAAATTCATACATTCCTACTGTGTGAAACAATTTTGTTTCTGGGCAATATCTGGGCAATTAAGACACCTTTGAGCTTTTGCAATGAAATTTTATATCAACTTAAGGCCTAATTGATTTTTAGGTCAAAGGTCACGACCCTAAATTCATAAATTCTGTCTCTGTGCAACAATTTTGTTTCCAGATAAAAGTTTACAGGAGAATTTTTGCTGATTTTGAATTGTCCTCATGTTTTACAGTTGGTTCCTGGAGGAGAGGGTCCAGAGACATAGAAGAAGATTCTGTCATTTCATCAAGGGAGGGACATCATTCACAAGCCACTCATACCATTAGAAACATTCTTCATCAACAATGATTAAAATAAAAATGATTTTTTTTTTTTTTTTGCAGAATTTACTCATCTTGTTGTCTGTAAACAATTTTTCAAAATGCTGCCATCTCTACAGATTTTGTCCAATTTCATTAAAACTTGGCACATGGGCAAACTACATCAAATTCACAGTTTTATGATCAGTTTTGATTTTGACAAAGGGTGTTGCCAGATTATAAAGAATAAATTAAACAGTCAATTTTTCAAAATAATCTTGACTTTAATTTCACTGTATATAGAAATCTTAGTAACTATCTTAGATGAAGATGATGACAGGAAAGTATGCTTCCAATTTACTCATAAAATTTCTTTTTTGTCATAAGTTCTTTCATCATGCACTAACTTGTTATGCAGTATCAGTTTTAAATACTTACTCGTTGTTTATATATAAGTTTCATGTATTTAACAAGAAAACCTACGGCAAAGTTTTGTTGCAGATTTTGTTACAGTTTATAATCTATCTGTTTTATGATTAGGTTTTCTTTACCCCAATATGGTCCAATTTTCTACCTGCAATACAGCTTTAATAGGCGCACGTAATGAAAAGATTTTCAATAGTTAGGTACTCGGGCAGTAAGAATTTAATTGTCGTCACTCAACGCATCACTGTTTCGGTTGTAGTGTATACTTTCAAGCTAGATTTGCGATAACGCCACGGTACAATGTAAACCATCTTCCCAAGTCAAGGGTTTCCGATCCAGTCTGCTCCACATTATGTGGAGCGGCCTTGACTTGAGAAGATGCGGTAAACAGGTACAATACACATAAAATATCTCTTTTTTTCCATTTCGATACATACCGGTATTAAATTGTTACTCTTAGATTCTTTAAGAATGCCCAGTAATTACCCTTACTGTTTTAGAGGACGCATAAAAGTCAATCTAGAAAACAAAAGATTCATATTTCTTTTTAATGTAAACCGTTAAAAGAGATTTTTTCCGAATCTAACTTTATACTTGATTTTTTGTAAAGTTCAAATCAGTAGAGCTACAGTTTTATCAGAAGATTCTTATTATTTTTAGGCCACTTCCTGTTATTTGTTTGGTGTTTTTTTTTTAAACTTTAAATTTCTGAAATGACCCGAACAAATACTGTTTATTCTTGATAACTCTATTTTCGGGCAATTACGCGAGACCGTGTAGTCGATCGCGAAAATTTCATTAACGCGTATAATTCTCTTAATAAAGATTATATAGAGCAATAACCAAAATTCGTGAAAATTTTGTTTTGCTTTTAAATACCAAACAACAACCTCGCGAAAATAAGGTGATCTACAGTACACAGCTACAACTAATGCTGAGGAACAGTAATTATAGGTTTCGTGGTTCCCGGACCCTTTGGGGCCTTAGGGATGGGACCAAAATTATAATCTTATTCTTTGCTTATTTACATATCTTACAGGCAAACCCTTTGCACAACTACATGGAACATTGTGAATTTTTTACTCTTAGGTCCGGATTTCGATCCTAAAGGTGGCGCTAAGTTGCCCATTTATTGAAAATGTATATCTTTCAAAAAAATTACTGTATGATATCTAGAAACTACTTACATGACTATTACCTGCCAAAACTGTGAAATTACGCCTGGTTTTGGGGATTAGAATCAAGAGTGGCGTTATTTTGGTCGATCATAAATTTTAATTGCTGAATATTTTGAAAGACTTAAATTCGTTTCTCATGGCCATCTAGAAGGCATTATTAAGACTACGTAGTCCTTAGGCTTTACCAAAATGCTTAAATTTACGTCCCTTGGATCCAACTAAGTATCAGATTTGGTTATGTTGAAATTTCAAAATAAATCTTTTTACACCTCCCCTCACCAATTAACTTTTTATTTTGAAAAAGCTCTCGCTAATCCCTGTAAATTCAGAAAATTAAGAAAGATCATAAAAAGTATACTACAATGGTTTTTCATTTTTATTATGCTGAAGAGCCATCCTCTATTCTTGCAGTCTGCCATGAGGTCTGCATATTTAAGGTTCGTCCTCTCATGTGCACCCTCATAATTTTCTTCTCATGGCACGGTCATCTCTATTGCGATCAACGTCTTCGACTGCTGGGACACTAATACTGCGTTTGGTCGTCTATGCAGCACTGATGTCCGCCTTGCTGCTCTTGTGTCAGCCGCTGCTTCACCCTGTCTCACAAACCGTATCTGTCTTTTTTCTTGTCTGATGGTCGTTTCCTTCTTTTCACCTCCGTCACATCAGCCAACTCCCGCAGGACTTTGTCGTGTCGCCATCTATATCTCCCCTGAGTCAGTGCTACTTGCATCCTGATAGAATATGCGCCATGGTTCCTCTCTTACCACACAGCTTGCAGGAAGGGTCTTCGCTTAGCCCCAACTATTGCAAGTTTACAGGAGATGGGAGTGTGTCATACACTGACTTCAGCAGGAACGAGATTCTAAACCGGTCCTTCCTCCACAGATCTGCCCAGGTTAATTCCCGCTCCTGTAAGTCCCAGTTCATCCAGGTCCCCTGTTTTGCAAGTTCTGTTGATCTTGCTTTCCGTTGATCTTCCTCAGTGCGCCGTACTTCAGCCTGAACCATGGTGCGCCTCTCTGCTGCTGATGTTTTTGACCACTGTTGGATGTGTGACATTCCCACGTCCTGTCGCCAAGTGCTTTTGTTTCCAATGATGTCTCGTAAGTGTAATATACTCTCTGCTTGGTCCACTGATGCTTTTGCTGTCCACTTTCTTCCTGTCCTTGTCTGGATCCCTGCTCCTGCGTCCCCGTCGTCTGCTGAGTCACGTAACGTCATTACCAAGCGACATTTTGCCATCTTGAATTCTTCCACCACAGAGGAAACTGGTATGCGTAATTGATTTGAGTTGCTGTAGACTCCAATCGATGTAAATGAGGGTGGAACTCCTAGCCCCCTCGTCAGATACCTGCTCACTTTCCTTTCCATGACTTTGACTGTAGTAGTGAGGAGCAGCCACATAAGTCTTGGCAGGATCCCATGCTGGTAGATCCATACCTTATATTTTCCAGGTAATCCGCTTCCATCAACCATTTAAAGCCAAGAAAGGAGTTCCTTCTTTGTGAAGCCACTTTCCCAAGCATTTAATTGGTTTTTGTACTATTGATCGGATCTCCTCTCCTTGCATTTGCATCTTGACTAGCCTGTTGATGCACCCCTTCCTCAATACGAGACACCTGGCTTGACCTTCATGCGTGCCCAAGAAATGCCATCTTCCAATGCTGATAGGACCCACCTTGCTTGTAAATGAGTCGTTGTTGTCACTGTGAGATCATCCATAAAGCCTCTGATTGGTGGCTGATAAATCCTCATGTCCATCCTTGGTCCTCTAGTTTCTCTTTCTGCAGTTCTGGGATCCATTTTAGAAAAGAACTTACGACAAAGACCAAAAACTTTAGTGGATTGTAAAATCTTGCAAAAATAAATGACTATATCAAAAGTTACTACCATGAAATATCTTTCTAAATTATTTTAAAAAAGATAACAACCATTTTAAAATGAATATAAGATAGAAAGTTATTGACAAAATTACATTTTGGTCTTTGTCGTAAGTTCTTTTGTAAAACGAAATGACTATATCAAAAGTTACTACCATGAAATATCTTTCTAAATTATTTTTAAAAAGATAAAAACCATTTTAAAATGAATATAAGAAAGAAAGTTATTGACAAAATTACATTTTGGTCTTTGTCGTAAGTTCTTTTGTAAAACGGGGCCCTGGTCACCACCCCCATACCCATTACAAACAGGTAGGAGATCGATTGATTGATTGTAAGTTTTTTAACCTCCAGTTCGAGAATTTTTCACTCATATAAAGACGTCGCCATATACCGGTGAAAGGCTCCAAATTTAACCCTTTACTTGGCACTCGGGGCCATTGAGCAGTGAGGGATCTTTATCGTGCCAACGCCTGCCGTGATATGGTTTTTAAGGTCTCATCCGAAGGACCCGCAACTTTCACTTCAAAGTGCCGAGCGCTTGGCGAAGGAACAGTTGCTACATATTTTTATTAAATTAGATCAGTCGCGGCCTTGATACGAACATACGACCTTCCGATCACGGAGCGAGCGCTCTACCGACTGGGCTACCGTGACGGTTAACAGATAGGAGAGATTATTCCCTTCTCTACACTTTGCCAGGATATTGTGTAGTCATCGACAGTAAACCAGATCTGCATTCCTCCCAAGTAGCTCTTGCCAATCCCCCGAACATTCTCTGGTATATGATACAACTCCATAGCCGACTCAATCGGCTTGTGGGGCACAGATCCATACGCGTTGGCTAGGTCTAACCACACTGTTACAAAGTTTTCCTTGCCTTCTTTGACCTCCTTGATGAGCTGGCTTATGACAATTGTGTGGTCTGCGCATCCGAAATACCCTTTTATGCCTGCCTTTTAAATAGAAGTATCTATGTATCTGTTTTTCCACAATGTACCATTGTCTTAGAGTTCTCTTTCGTTACAAAACATCCCTCTGCCTCTTTCCACCATACTGGTATTGTCCCTTTCGTACAGATTACGCGGAAAAGTTGCCACAATTTTCTCAGTAACTTTGGGCACCTCTTATACATTATGTATGGTATCCCATTTGGTCCTTGAGCTGAACCTGATCTTGCTTTCTTCATCACTTCCTTCATTTCCTTAAATTCCATGTAGGCTTCTTCACATCCATCATAACCCCTGATGGATCCACTATCACCTCATTATAGGGCATTGACCCACTGGTTCTTCTCTCAGTGGGTCAGAGTGTGTCTCATGTAAATACCCCTCAACTTCTTCCTTTGATCAGAAAGTTTGTCTTGCAAGAAATAACTTTTATATAGAAAGTACATGCAATTATGAGCAAAATTATACCAAATATATGTCTTATAGTTTGAAAAATAAAAAAAAAAAGGTTATGGCTAAATAAGTAACCTCACCAATTGTCTATCATTTCAGTTGGGATTGCAAAAATTGCATTTTAAAATAACCACAAGGCAATCGCAAACTTCTCAATTTATACTGAAACTAAAAAGAAACGCAACAAGCAGTAATCTACATATATTTGAATATTTTATTAAATGATTTTCAAAAATGAATACAGTAAGGTAAAACTCGATTTAAAAACATCAGAGATTTGATAAAAATGTTAAATGATTATCTTTTAACTTTAGAAAGTAACACGACTGTTAAAACACCCCTACCCCGGCCATTCAATTACAGCGCGCAAGACTGTCATGCACAAC